TCTACGTGCGAGGCGGAGTACGTGGCGGCAGCCACAGCGGCATGCCAGGCGGTCTGGTTGCGTCGGTTGCTGGGCGAACTGACCGGCAAGGAAGCTCGTCCACCTGCTCTGATGGTGGACAACCAGCCTGCCATTGCCCTTGCGAAAAATCCAGTTCTCCATGACCGGAGCAAACACATCGATACCCGTTTTCACTTCATTCGTGATTGTGTCGATGGAGGACATATTGTTTTGGAGTTTGTCGAATCCGGACGGCAGCTCGCAGACATCCTTATCAAACCACTTGGCCGTCTTCGGTTCATGGAGCTGAGGACCAAGATTGGAATGATAGGAAACAAGCCAGATTAGGGGAAGAATTGTAAGATATAATCCTGCAGTTTCCTTGTTAGTGAAGTGCAACTTCCTTGCACTTTCATTACACTTTCATTGTATTTTCTTTGTAGCTTCCTTACAGCTGCAAAAGACCTTCATAGCAGCCCCTTTAGGCTGAATTTTCAGCTTTAGTAATTTCTAGGAAAGTGTTGAATAGTAGTTTTTTAGTTCCTATAAATAGGAATGTAGTTTTTCATTTGTAAACATAAGAGAGAAAAACTTAATACTCAATACATTGAGTTATTCATAATCTTCTTCTTTCATCCTAAAAGTGTTCGTTTGTGCCGGAAGCATTTTTGCTTACCTGAGACTAACACGACCCGTGTGGTTATGTCGTGTGAGCCTGGGAGTATTTTTTTTTTAACTGAAAACGTATTGTCATAATACGTTTTAGCTTTTTATTTTTCTAACTGAAAACGTATTGTTATAATACGGTTTTTGGAAGGAACCGTATTCTGAAAATACGTTGTCAATTAAAAAAAAATTCATAAATTTTACTATTTTTTTTTAATTTATAATATATAAAATTTATTTAAAAAAAAAAAACGTATTCTCAGAATACGTTTTCGTTTTTAAAGCGTTTTTTGAAAATACGTTTCTTATAAAACGTATTATGAAAGTACGTTTTATTTTACATTAATTTTTGTAATCGCGATTTAATTAAGTTAATCATGTTTAAAAATTTATTTCGTTATAAAACGTAACATGAGAATACGTTTTAATTTTTAAACGTATTCTGAGAATACGTTTTACTATTAAAAACGTATTCTCAGAATACGTCTATTTTATGTTGGTCGACAGCCTTTTGTTTTTTTTTTTTTTTTTTTTTTTTTTTTT